CGCAGAAGCTCAGCACCTGCGAGACTCCGGGTAGGCCGCCCCGCAGTACACATATGCACTACAGGCGAATCCTTGCCTACCTATCAGGCACTCTGCGAGCTTGATCGGCTTGCATCGGCTACGCAATTTATGGATGATAACTGATACAAAACTAGTTTAATGCAATGCACTTTTGGCTGGGTTCGTTGACATATTTCGTTATGGCCCATTTCATTGATCAACGATTTTACATTTTTATTTTCAATTAAATTTGTTGAAGCCAGCTTATGAAGCCGATAATTTAGGCCCACGTATCAGTAACGTCCCCTAATAACGTTTCCTTTAGCCACCCGCGGGGCTCGAGGAACGTTCACCGATGCCGGATCCGAAACGGTGTGCGTCAAGCGCATGTCAACTAGCCGTTCCGATTGGAAAAGGGAGGAGGGGGGAGGTGGTATCACAGCGCACAGCGATTAATCTCAGCGAGATCGTGCGTCACACCGTGCCGGTGCGGCGGGACAGGACGAGATGAGGTGAGATGACCCACATCCCCAGAGCGCCCTTGGCGCCACTGGCTGCACTGGCCGGTAGGCTGGCCCGTGCATGCACCGCGGCCTCCCCCGCGCCCCGGAGCGGCCCGGAAGCTCATCATCGGGCTGACATAACACGGCTATAACGCGGCTGACATAACGAGAGAATGGAGTCCGCACGACGCGCGACTCATCGCACTGCAGGTTCAATGTGCTCGTCGGGTGGCCGTTGAAGGTTTGGAGGAGGCCGGGCAGGGCTGGCGGCCGTGTGTTCTGCGCTGTTTGTTGGGCCGGTGGTATTTTCTCTTCGCTCCAGCGAAACCGGGACGACCTTATTTCAATTCTCATTCGAAATCGTTTGAAAATGTGGCAACATATACACATCTTAGCAGGGGGAGGGGTGGCTACCCCAAGTGTTTTCAACTGATCTCGATCGAACTCGCACGGACACACCCCGATCCCGGTGTCCCTGCCTCCTGCTGCAACCTCCTCACCGAGATCACAGCACCAGAAAGTGCGTCCGTGATTCGCCCTGACGAACGTGCCAAGTTCAGCCTGTAGAGCTCCTCCAATTCTGGTGTCACGAAGCTCATTGAGAGTCAAACATTTTCTGTATCAGTAAATTGTATCCATTTGGTTTTTAAACTGGTTTCAACAAAGAATGGTCCGAATTAGGGCCAACGTTTCATAATTTGCCACCCTCTCTCATAGGAGTTGTTGCTGGCCCAGAAGAGTTGTAAAAGTCACGTGACCATTGGAGTATCTGCATGCGAGCTCTCATAGCGCCTGGCAGGCAGGCAACATCTTGTCTGCAGTGCATGCGTGTACTGCGGGCTGGCCGACCCTGAGTCTCGAAGGCGCCGAGCTCCCGCTATTTGATGAAGAAATCCGAGAGAGGGAAAACCAGAGGTACTTTCTGAACGATATCTCACACACACTCCATCGCGCTGCCGTCGGGGCCGTCGGTGCTCGCCCTCGCCGGGCGCTCTGCGCGTGTGAGCGCCATCGTCCACCCCCGCGGACCGCGGAGCGGCTGACGGCCTGCCTATGCGCCGGGCCTTGCCGCGCCGCGTGGACCTAGATCACCTAGATGTAGGTCAGTCGGAGGCAGCGGGCTCCATGGGCTGTGCTCGGCAGGACGGGTCGAAGGGCGTGCGCAGCTGCAATAAACGGAGGGCCCTGCCGCGTGGCCGCTGGGCGCTGGGCCCCGGCTCTAGCCCCGGCTGGGCCGTACCCAGAAAATGATATCATTGAAACAAAGCGAATTGCGTAGCCTCAATGCTAATTTTAAGTTAAAAAAATACAAGGAAAATAGTCTTTAACTTAAGGATAATGGCGTTGAAATAAAGAAAACTTTTCCTTGGATTGAAACTATTTTCTTGAAAACAATGGAAATGCCTTAGGCCAAGGTCAAAAACACCCTTGTGTTTGTTTTAAAAGAATTTTCCTTGGTTTAAGGATACCATTTTCTAGGTGCGGGCAGCAGCTCTCGGGGCTTATCGGCCCACACAAGGTGACAGGTAGTGAATGAATAGATCTCGGTCATGATTGGCACCTGCTGCACCTGCGAGGGGCCCATCCCATCCCTGCACCCGCTCCACGCCTTGCTCTCCGTCAAGACAACACGTGGGTCCTTTATCATGTTCACCCTCTAACCCAGGAGTGTGCCGCTGATTGGCGGACACCTGTGTAAGTGGAGTCAGCTAGTCAGCGACGGAGATAAAGATTTACTCTATGATTTCTATGCCGCACATGCACTTACCAAGAAAAGCACAAACATAGACGTCAGACACTTAAATTGTATTATAATTTACACATTCATTCAAACTATAATTAGGTGATCAGTCTCTCGCCTTCCGGCACACCTTCTCATACACCTCGGGGAAGGCCTTGTCGCACTTCAGGCGCGACCGCATCTTGTCGTAGAGCGAGTGGTCGAACATCTTCCTGAACTCCTCCCTCGTGGTGTAGGTGTCCGCGTACAACATTTGGAACCTGCAGAAAGCGAGGAGGACCACCGAGGTAAAAACACATTGCCACGCCACAGGGCGGTCCTTGAGCGCCGTTCTTTCTTTCGGCTATACTGTATTGGATTCGGGAGTGCGTGCGGGCATGCCTGTCGTCGCTCACCGATAGGCGCCTTACGGCCGCGAGTATGCAACCCGTCCGCACACCTACATAAGGCACTGTATAACCAGAAGAAAGAGGAGCGACGGCGCTGACGGACCAACCTGTGCGCCCCCCCCTCCCCTCCCGCACACACACGCGCGTGTACACTGCGTGCCTCAAGTCAGATGGGAGTGAGAGAGACAGAAGACAGTTGAGTAAGCTCGCCTGGCCCTTTGCCCGACCGATTGCCAACTCCAATACTTACCCCTTGGCCTTGCTGACGAAGGCCTCTATGCGACGAGTCGTCTCCTTGGGGTCAAAGTCCTTGCGCGTGGGCACGCCGTAGACTCCGATGTCGATGTACATGGAGTCCTTGTCAACGCGGAGCATGCCGGGCTCGCTTGGCAGTCGGAACGGACAGAGCCACAGCGGGTACACCTAATAATTTAAGAAAAATTGTTCTTACGATAACTAGTTGATTCCAATCAAGATCTAATTTGTTTAAGTAAAAAGAACACCGACTGTCTTGCTCTCTGTTTCCGGCACTACCCCCCCCCCCCTTTCCCACACCCAGTCATAATCGTCGGCAGAACTCTCACCGCCACTTCCTCATCGAAGAACAGCACCGACTCCTTGAACTTTTCGATGGGCACCAGCATGTCCTGGATGATGTGGTTCCTCTCGTACAGCTTCTTGACGGCCTGCGTCTGGGTGAGCTTGAGCAGCGACACCTTCGGCGGAGTCATCCAGCCAAACAGGTACCGGAACACGGGGTTGTTGCCGAAGGGGATGATTTCCTGCGGGTCGGCGTGGCGGCGTTAGTCCGGCATAGCGTATGGCTATCGGCCCCCCACTCCCGTCGCCTCTGTCCGTCCGTACCTTAATCTCCCAGAAGAGGGAGCGCGAGTGCCGGTGCTGGTAGTCGCGCAGGGGGATGTACTCGACGCCGGGGCCCGACCGGAGGAACGTCCTGACGTGCTCGAAGAACCAGGGCTTGTGCCAGCGGCCGATCTCATTCAGCTTGCCCCAGTCCACGCAGGAGACCATTTGGCCCGTCATCACGACGCCCTCGTCCTTGGAGAACATGAGCGCCTCGACGAACTCATTTTCCTCAGGGAGGTCGAGCTGCCGGCGCAGGACGGTGTCGGCCTCCTCGAGGGAGCGCACGGGCTCGTACTGCATCTTGACGAACCTGGGGCCCATAGGGGTGGCTCATACAAGCGGTCTCGTCGAGTGAATGACAATGAGGGGGGACAGGGAATGTATGCTGACCTTAGCGCGGGGACGATCCTTATCTCGACCGCCGTCAGCAGCCCCAGGGTGCCGTAGGACCACGGCACCGAGTAGAACAGGTCGGGATCACTGTCCTGAGCCACAGAACAAGGCGATAGAAACACTCTAAGCTGAGTATGGTTTGAGTTTGAGCACTCTCTGATGATGGCTCCGCCCAGCCCTCCTCACCTTCGTGACTTGGACGACGCTGCCGTCGGCGAGGACCAGCTCGTACGCCACGCAGATGTGCTGGAACAGGCCGTGCTTGTGGGAGCTCGTCTCCACGCCCGTGCCCATCACCAGCCCGCCCACGGTCAGGTCGTCCAGCTCGGGCACGAAGGGCAGCGTCCAGCCCAGCGGGTCGAGCGTGGCCGTCAGCTGCCCCATGGTGACGAGCGGCTCGACGCGCACCGTCCTCCGCTCCGCGCTGAGGTCCAGGATGTCGACGAGGTTCACGTTGACGGTGAACATTGTCTTCTTGTACTTGGCATGTCGGAAAGACATGGTCTGCCACGAAGGGCGGGCAGTGCACATGGGTGTCCTCGCCCCCTCCGCGCTCCACTGCCTCACCTAAGCGACGAAAGAGGATCGATGTAGTGTTATATTCAGTGGAGAAAAGTCTACCCGGGGCGCAGACTGGGGTCCGACGGCATGGCGTAGCGTGGATTCGGGGCGGGAAACCCCAGCGATCCACGCTCCGCCACGCCGCCAGACCCCAGTCTGCGCCCCGGGTAGACTTTTCTTAACTGAAAATTATAACATAAGCAGAGGTCCCGCACCACTCAAGCGACAAAGCGTCGAAAAGGGGGGGGGGAGGGAGGCCTTGATTGAACTGACCTGCTTTGCGACGTTCTCGACCTTGCTTGCGTGCTTACTGGGCGCGGAGCTGAGCTGGAACACGACCCAGCTACGAACGTAAAGCAGTACGTCGTACAGGAGCGATAAAGGAAGCAGCACGATCACGAACACCCAGCGGTAGTGGATGAGGATGTGCTCTACCACGGCGTCGAAGCCACCTGAGCTTGCGGTCACGGCCTTTCGGTCTCCCATCTTAGCGAGGGTGTGTCTGCCGTGTCTGCTCTGGTTGGAGTCCACCCGGCGACTGCGACAGCGTAAGTGGACATGGACACAAACGGGACTGGGCCCGCCTAAAGGCGCGACGCGGTGAGAGGGGACCGGAGGGGACCGTAAGGCGTGAGGGGACCGACCGGGACGCGTGCGAGCCAGCCGGGCCTAGAGGCGGAGCCGGCTGCCGAACCTCTTCACATAATCTGCGACTGATAAACGTGCAGGACGCAGCCCAGACGCGTGGTATTTACCCGCAAGTACTCGTGCACCTAACGTGAACTTTGTGGACGCGATGCTTGAGACCCACCCATAGCGCCTGGTCTGAAATTCCATAGAGCAAACGCGTATATGGTAACTAATAGTGTTACATTACTGACTTAAATGAACGAACCCGCACGAAGACCTTCAGGTGCGCAGGTCGCAAAGAGTTACGCGCACGATGTCTTTTACTCATTATGTCTAAAAAGTTACTCGGACGACCTATGCAAGGAATGTGTCTTAAGAACACGACCTACAAGCCGTGATGAGCGTGCCACTCGTGCGCGCACCACTGGGAAAGTTATGCGCTCGCAGTTAAAGCTGTTTTATACAGCGAAAGAAATGTCCCCGCACAGTTTTGTGAAGTAAAAAGATTCGAAATTATTGCTCTCCCTCTCTCTCCCCCTCTCATAGCAGCGCATCTCGCTTATCTAGGGGGCAGGGCAAGGTTCGGGACAAGGGAAAAGGAGAAAATACTCATCCTCAAGTTCATGGGTGCCTATGAATGATAGGCACTTCAAATTGGCTGAGTTCAAACTATACCAAAAAGTACTGTACTGTACCGTGTACGTGTCAGGGCCACGACAGAACCGTATGCTGGGTTGCCTACTCGCTATACCCTAAGGCGCCGTGGCGCGGCGTTAAGAGCGGCGGGGAGTGTGGCGCGGCGCGGCGTCCTTCGGCTCCTGCACTACTCGGACCTCGACTCGGACGCTTAGGGCTGGCCGCTGTCTCCACAGAGCTGCTTTGCGGGTTAGCCTACCCTGCGCGTCACAGGCGTTGGGTCTCTCAACCAGCACGATCAAAACGAGGGTAGGCGCAGCAGATTCCAACAGCTACCAGGTGCGGCTGTATGGGGGGGCGATCCCCCCTCCCCCTCCCCCTCCCCCTCCCCGGTCAGCCGGACCTATACCTCGCCTGTCAGCCACCTAGTATAGTCGAGAGCGAAATTAGTTAGCGCACTACCGTAGAGATGGGAGGGGGATGTCTTGCCAACTCTCTAACTCAAAATACTACAAACTAATCTCACAGTAACTCAGATCTCAGATGGAGCATATTTTGCTTTTCTAACGAAGATCACGTGTTTGCCTTTTCTCCACCTCCAGGCCAGCAACCTTCCTATAAATCGCCATGAGTTCCCGCGGCCATGCGCGCCGCCGAGGTAGGTTGAGGTAGGCAACCTATCATACTCTGCAGCGGAACTGGTCGCCCGTCTCGCCCTCCGCGAGTTGTCGTTGGTTAGAGGAGATGCCGGAGGCGCTGACGTATGCCGCTAGAACCTGTTCTGAACCCGCACAATAACAGCGATACGTAGCTGAGACAAACGCCATCTATTTTGCATTTTCTTTTATTGTCAAATTAAAAACATACATAAATCAGTTCACAAACTCTATCGTGCGAAAAAGAAATAAGTATAAAAGTAAAACCACACAACACAACGTTAATAACTAATATCACACAGGTACAAATTTGAGGAAAAATTATATGAGATGAACGGGAATCGGATATTGACATGCAGATGAATGTAGCTAGCTATAAATAAATAAAAACAGACTGCGACCTTGCAAATTCGTGCCCTCCCTCGCCCTCCCAACTTCCTGAGCCGTTAGGTGCGGGCAGGCGGATGATCTCAGTATGCCGCAGAAGCGATGGGCTGGTGCGAGACAAACTTGGTGATGAGGTCGAGCGCCCACTTGGGCTGGTCCAGAGGCACCATGCTGCCGGCCGCGCGCACGAGCACCTCGGTGAGCCTGCCCGCCGTCTTGGCGTAGCCCGCCACCTCGCCGTCGACGGTCCAGATCTTGCGCTCGGCCGTCTTGTAGGCGTCCGCCCCCGACCACTGGAGGCGCTTGATGTAGTTGACCATGAGCGGGTAGGGTTCGGCGATGTCCAGTTGGCCGTTGTATAGGAGCACGTCGTAGTGCTCGAGCAGCGTTTCGTACCAGGGCCGAGCCGTCTGCATCTGGTCGGCCCTCAGCTGGTCCGCCACGGCCGTGCAGTTGTGGAAGGTGAGGTTGCCGACGTGCAGGAGCTGTCGGACCTGAGGGGTCTGCACGTACTGCTTGTAGCTCGTGAGCAGGTGGTCGCCGGCGCGGACGTAGTTGGAGCGGTGCCGCAGCCCGGTCAGCTCCAGGAAGAGGGTGGTGTTGACGCCCCCGCAGTCCCGGGGCCCGGCCCCCACCAGCGCGTCCCACTCCAGCCACGCGTCGCTCCACCGCCGCTGCTGCAGCAGGTCCCGGACCACGTCGCGGCGCTCGTCCAGCTGCCGCCGCCCGGCCTCGTCCACCAGCCCGATCTGGTACAAGTAGTCGCCGTATTCCAGCATGGACTCGGGCTCCGCGTGCGGGTTGCCAACGGCCAGGCCTCGGAGGTTGATCTTGACTGAGTCGTTGGCGCCGCCGGCGCCGCTGGCCTCGGTGTTGGCGCCGTGGATCGCCATGCCGAGCGCCGGCACGTACTTGCCCGCGTAAGACTCCCCCGCTATGAAGAACTCGTTGCCTTGCAGCTGTGGGAACAGCTGGTAGAACTGGCGCAGCGCGGCCAGCAGGTCGCGGCCCACCTGCTCCGACGAGGTGGCCAGCCCCTGCGGCGAGGACGCGAAGCTGAAGCCCGTGCCCGCGGGGCTGTCGATGTACAGCATGGAGGCGGCGCGCGTCCAGGAGTGGCGGCGGTGCTTGAGGCGACGGCTTCGCTTCAACCTCACGGGCCCGTTCTCCATGAACAAGCCGAACAGTGAGCTGGTGCCGGGCCCTCCCTGCAGCCACAGCACCAGGGGGGCGTCCTCCATGCCCTTGTCGGCGGGGAAGAACCAGAAGAAGAGATTCGCACCGCGGGCCTTGTCCACCGTGAGGAAGCCCGAGTAGCTCTCGACGTCGCCGAGCAGAGGGTCGTTCCTCGACGCGTTCTGCGCCTCGCTGACCTGGCGCGCCTCCAATAGTGGCGTCAAGAAGGCTGGTGGACCCACGTCCACCGGGGCGTCGCCGGTGCTCGAGGATTGCGGACGTCCGCCACCGCGCCGCCGGGCGGTCACGGAGGACACGGCGGCTAGAGCTACGAGAACGAGCGAGCACTTCATGGCGACGAGGAACACTGCGCGGCTCGGAGGCTGTGCCTCCACTGGAGCCCAGGCGCGCTGGTCCGGTGGTCCCTGGCGTCCGGGAGCGGGGACGCATCCGGAAATGGCACCGCGGCGTGTGTTCCCGTGGCACCTCGGACTGCCTCGGACGCCCCCCACCTCCCCCTCTTCACTCCAGGTGCCCGGTGAGGGAAGGGGGGTACCGACGGGTACCGACCACGTGACCTTGGTCAACGGAACATTCAACCCGCTGGGACTGAGGTGGTGGCGTGGCAGCGGAGAAAGAGGTGTCCTGGGCTATGGCCCGGGGTCTCTTGGGGCCCGTATGTTCCAGGTTCCAGGACCAGCCGGCGCCGCGGGGGGCGCCGCGGGGTGGTGATCTCGAAGATCGCAGAAGAAACAGTTACCGGGTCCATCGGCATCCACCTCGAGTCCAAAATAAATTACGCATTCTGACCACACGCATGTGGTCTGCGTGGAGGGCTGGGGAGCCCGGGGTGCCCGGGGAAGCCCGGGGACTTTAGACAGGAGCCTGAAGCCTGGAGACCGGAGACGGAGCCTGTAGTCGGGGCGGGTCCTGCGTTAGACACCCAGAAAATGGTATACTAAAGCCAGGAAAAATTCTTATCGAAATACAAGGAAATTTTTGACCCTGGTGAAATTTCCCTTGATTTCAGGGAAATTAAGTAGGATTTTCTTAACTTTACTTTAACGACTTTTGCCTAGAGGTAAATAAAATTTTCCTAGTATTTTTAAGGTAAAAATAGCGTTTACCCAAGGCATTTTGCCTTGTTTCATGGATACCGGGTGTAGAGAAGGACTTCGCCAGCTGGTCTATGAAGATGCTCCCGCCACAAACGTTTCCCGAGTAAGTTGGGTGATAAACGTTCTCTTACCCGACGCTCCCGCATTTGGTCCCTCAGGGCGTGCCGCAGTCTCCACACAGCTGCTTGGCGGGTTGGCCTACCCAGAGCGTAGCAGGCGCTATCATAAGCCTTGTCTTTTGAGGCGCTCATTGTGGGGTGGGAATATTTTAAGGGATGAAGCGATATATCCAATATGCAGTTTATGTCTTTCTGGCCTATCAATAGTATGTTTTCAAGTCGGATACGATACCCGGGCATGCGGTACAGTAACTACGAAAGTGCGCGGCGTGAATCGATTCACGATTTCACGTACGTGGCTGATTTCAGCCACCTGGTACCTATGCTGGTTTGGCTTATCGCTCCACCCGTAATTCGCTATACACGCACTTCGCACGCCTCTTGAGAAATTGCTCAGCGTACAAGCTCACCTCACTTGCCAGTGGTATTTCAAAACGTCCGATTTTTCCCGCGAGAAGGAATGCCACTCGTCAGACGGATCATTTGGGTGTTCGAGACGTCTTTGACCGTGTAAGGCGTCACAAACAGGCAATGGGAAATTCATTTATTCCTTAATTTTAATAGAAGTCTAAAGATTCTCGTTTGAAAAAGTCCATAGTTTCGTCTGAGACTTTGCCACCGGCAGCCGGTGTTTCGGTGCGCGATATGTTGGACAGACTGCTCAGTCCGTCGTGACGTGTGACGTTTGCGTGCAGACGTGGAGCAACGACGACTCCGAAGTGGCTGGGACCGAGTTGTCTGCGTTTACATTCTCACTTGTTCTCCATACTCTGACACGAAGCCACTGAAGATATAGAGCACCATGGTAAGTGATTACGTGTACCAGCATTATTTCTGCGTGAGATCGAAATTTACGTCGCGTCTATTTCAAGTCTAATCATATTATTGTGTACTTTAGTTGGGGATTAGTAGTTTTTGTAGGTTAATGAATTGATGCTGACTTATTCCTCCCTTAGACTATTATTTTGTCAGAACGAGACCTTGTTTTATTTTTGCTGCATTATTCTGTGACGAATGCTATCTCAACTAACAGTTAAATACATTTATCCATTGATCTCCACTTTCTTATATGCTATGTGTCAGTTCCCTACGAAGCATATGTGTTTGATATTGTGTCGTTTCTTTTGAGACAAAACCCGCCTCACTCCATGAAAATCTTCAGCTGTGGTTACTTAGATACACAATCAGCTTATGATCAAACAGTTTTACCTAAACGTTTTTCCCAAATGTTATTTACTTTATCACTGTTGATGTTTATTGCTTTCGGTTCAGGAATCACGCCCTCAGCTTGACACTTTCTGCTTCTTTACAGCCTGCTCCCGCTAGCTCAACATCTGTTGGTTCTGGAGGCAGATCGCCATCCAAGGCGGTAGCCTCCCGACCCTCTGGTGGTGGTACTGTCAGGCAGAGGTGAGTCTTATAACTTTTGTAATACTTTTCTACAAAAACAGATTTACAATTATTTTGTTATCACTTACCTGGCACTCTCCTTCATGTAACTAATTTAAATCTATGGTGTTTGCAGGAAAACCACATCCTCAACTGCCCCAAGAAGTCGTGCAGCTGGTACCAGCAGTGGAGGAATGTGGAGGTTCTACACTGATGACTCTCCTGGCATCAAAGTGTAAGTTTGCATTTATCTATTTCATAAATTCTAAGTATCTACTTTAACCTATCACATGCCAGCCTTTTACGTGTTATCTTCATTACATTTGTATAAAAATTGTTTGCAGTGGTCCCGTTCCTGTTCTTGTGATGTCACTGTTGTTCATCGCCTCAGTCTTCATGCTTCACATCTGGGGCAAATACACCCGCTCTTAAACTACTTTCATTCCACCCTATGTTTCCTGATTGCAATTATCTTTTCCTTATCATTCCGTGAATGAATGGAAGACTTGGACAGGATTTACTTATCTCATCCTGATCAGTAAAGTATCTTGAAAGTGTACAGTTATTTTTGGAGGATCTCATCCAAAACCCTCGTATTGTTTTTCAGCAATACAAATTTATTTGTACTGGGTTTCAATGTGTGTTTTTTTTCTTTTTTTCTTTGTTATCAATACTTTTATTTATTGAAG